ATCCGATGGCAGACTTTTGAACTTCTACCGTGGACTATGTTCCCCTAGGAGTCTGCTCGGTACCGGCCACACTCGTTGTATCGGCTGTTTCCCAACTCGTCCTTTGCCTATTTTCGATTCTACCTGTCATGTTATCATTTGACCATTTATTATCAACCGATTTTACTCCATACAGTCACACCCTTGGTCCACCATCATGGTTTTCCATATGATATAGATAGAAAAAATAGAAAAAAAAATATTCAATGGTCCAGAAGTAAAGCTGATAGTATTTCTTTAGTTCAATTGGTAGACAGTAGACTTAATTAGGTCTAGGTGCATAATGTATTTAATTTATATTCCATCCAGATACAATCCACCCCTAGAAGTACTGCGCTCCAACATATGCCAAAAAAAAGAATCATATAAGATATATCATGAACTTCTAATATTTATAATTTAGATTACTTTATTATTATAATTTAAAATAAAGATATAACATCATAGAATTTTTCTTATCGGATATATTGCAATTAAAATAAGAAGATAGTTATAATTTTATTAAAGTAATATAACCTAATGTGCTCGAACAAGTTAGATTACAATTTGATATGATTATTATTTTTTGTTACTGTAGACGTATCGCACGGGTTTTAATATTAGTGTCCAAAAAATTATGTGCTGAGTTTTCCATATGGTTGTTGGATTGTGTCTGGTTGGATAAAGTATTTAAGGAACCGCTAAGCTAATATTGATAAATTAACGCGGTAGAGGAGAGTTCGGTAACTTCTTCTGAAAATGATGCTCAGGTGCCGTACAAGTGGATATATGGAAAACAAATTAATTTATATACACTAATAGTAATAGTAATAATTTTTACATTAACCATCTGGTCATCTTATTATTTTGAATTTGAAGGTCAAATGTTAATTTTGGCAGCGTCCGACCTACATTTCATATAAAGTTTGCTACATTTGTCATTTGCTTTACGTCTTGTACAAATCCCGTAGTCATCTTTGGGAAAATGCAAATCATTAAATCCTTAGACTTGAGATAAAATATAATCATAATTAATATGGCTGGAGAAATTAGTTTCGGTTTTAGCTTTAATTCTTAAAATTGTTATTTTTTCATTGGTCAAAGATTAAAATACCACATCAAAATATCTCAAATGCAATTTTTTAAAACATTTTCTACTGAAAATAGAGCAATTATCGTGATGGCAGAGTCGGTAGCTTATTCTATTAGAAAACCAAATATTTCTAGCCTCTTTGGCCAAGCTTTTAGGAGGTTAAAAGTACGTTTTTTTTTCATGAATAAGTTCTTTTTAAAAAAATTTAAGCTGTTTGGCCCAAAGTACAAGCAGCAAAAGCAGTTTTTTTGCTTTTGGGAAGAAGCGGAAATTCTAACTTATTCCAAGAAGCAGAAAATTAATTTATTCAAGACAAAACTACCCTCACAATAAATTTATATTTTTCAAATTATCCCTTACTAATTTAAGCTTCTTTTTTTTGTTTCTAGTTTCTACCATTCTTTTAAAATTATATATATCATATTGTTTACCCTAAAAANTATATATATATTTCCAAATTCTTATTTGATTTTTCTTGTTTTTGATTTTTTCTGTGTAATGTCTTGTAACTTTCCATATTATCTTCTCTTTTTTCACACGAAAACAAATTATCCACATCCTTCTTTGGATTATCAATTCTCTTCCTACAAATAATCATTTGTAATTTCTTCTGTTATAGGCTATTAATTCCCGAATCTATAGAACAATTATGAAAAATCTAATTTGTGAAAATTACCTACAAATAGGTAATAAATTTACAATTTTCTCGCATAATTTATATATTATTAAAAAAAAGCCTCTACATTAAGCCAAGTGACAGTCTCACAATAAGTAACTTGACAATTTAGGAGAAAGTTAGTTAGGTTAGGTAATAATTAGTTTTTTTAAAAAAAATTAAAAACAAATAAATTATGCATTCTGTATGGTTAATAATTAGTTACTTTTTTGAATTTGAATTTAAACATACTTAACTATTTTTTTTACGAAAATAATTTATTTTTATATATTTAAAATTAATTCTATTTTATGCTCAATGTCATCTTTCAAGTTTGACGCTCATAATCATCTTGTTACAACTACCACGACTATATATAATTTCATCTGACGACATTTTTCTATCGATAAGGAATTCAACTATTGTGCTAATGAAGACATTACTATGCATTGAGGAAGGAGATGGGCCTTCTGGTATTCCTTTAGAAATGCAAGACAAGTCTTCTACTAATATGTAGGTGTTGTATGATAGAACTAGAGATGAAGTTGTTGAGAAATATTATCATGTGTGAGTGACTTTGCTTATTATTTCATGGTGTATTATCAATATATAGTAATTTGTGGAATAGACTTCTAATTCATACCGAATGATGAAAAGAAGTAATTATAAAAGATAATATTATACGCTTTGATATAACTATATATATATTATATTGATTTAAATTTTTTATATGTATGTTTACTTTATGTTTTATATTTTAATTAAATAAAAAAAAGTCTTCACAATAAATATTTAAGTTCATTTTTCACTTTAAAATAATTATAAGACCTTTGTACTATCCTTTTTGGTAATTTAACACTCAAAAGCACTTTTTAAAAAGATTGGCCAAACATAATTTGTTTACCAAATGTTGCAAAAAGTATTTCTTAAATGAATTGGCCAAACACAAACTATTTTTCAAAAGTACTTTTGAAAAAAATACTCCTGAAAAAAATACATTTCAAAATAAGCAGTTTTTGGCAGTTTGGCCAAACAGGCTTGAAGTGTGTTATCATAGTAAAAATAGTACGGGCTAGCCAGTTTTCAGACTGGTCATTCAGAAATAGATAGTATTTGTAAAGTCATTGAAAAATAGCCTCTATTTTGCTGCAACACGCATAAAGTTCCAGCATAATATACTTGAGATCGATGCACCTGTATAAGAACTTCCAACATATTATGCTGGACTCATTGGCGAAGCCACATATTGATAAGGGTGGTCAACTGACCACCCTTTATCGAAAAATTGCATTGTTTACATAGGTAAAATATTACATTTTAAAAGTATATAACACATATTGAACACCCTTTGTCGGAATCCTTTTCACTTCTTTTAAATTTGAACACCCTTGGAGAAATTCCTAGCTTCGCCACTAGCTGGACTGGTATATTGTTATTGGAACTCCAGTATATTATGCTGGAACTCCAACACGCAGAAAGTTCCAGCATAATATACTGGAGATTGGAGCACCTGTGTATGAACTTCCAGCATATTATGCTGGACCGGTATATTATGCTGGAACTCTAACAAGCAGAAAGTTCCAGCATAATATACTGGAGATTGGAGCACCTGTGTATGAACTTCTAGCATATTATGCTAGATCGGTATATTATGCTGGAACTCCAGTATATTATGATGGAGTATTTTTCGGATTTTGAAAAGTGTTATTGTTCAGAGTTTCTTTACATGAAAAGTGGCTATTTCGATTAGTTTTGAAACTGTGGCTATTTTTGAATGGCCACTTGTAAATATGACTATTTTTGAATATTCTCCCTTTATCATATTATCACGTTAATTTTAATCGTAGGGTGACTTTTTGTAACAGTTATTTTATTTATTATAAATAAAACATTTCTTCAGCAAAAAAAAAACGGAAAAGGGTTTAAAATGCCCATAAACTATTGGAAAAGGTTTAAAAATGACCTTCATCCACCCATTCGGCAAAAAATACCCATTCACCCATCTTTTTGGTTCACTTATGCCCTTTGACCGTTAGGTCAATGCTGAATTAAAAATAATTACAAAAAAAAATATTTTGCAAATTTTTATTTTTTTAAAACTAATGCACCAGTAGTCCACTAATTTAGTAAAGCCTTCTTCTTCTTTTTTTACAAAAAACAATTCAGTTTCAGTTTTTTAAAGCATTTTTTTGTAATTACTGAAAAAAATTTTAAAAACAGAAAAAAATTGTTTTTAATAAAATATTTCCGTTTCTTAAAAACTGAAAAAAATATTTTTGTTTTTGAAAAATATTTTTTTTCAGTTTTTTAAAGCATTTGTTCTTTGTAAAAACTGGAAAAATAAATTTGTAAAAACTGGATTTTTTTTTGTAAAAACTGAAAAAAAATATTTTCATTTTTTAACAAAATATTTTTGTTTTTTAAAAACTGAAATATTTTTAAAAAAATATTTTTCAAAAATGAAAATATTTGTTGAAAATATTTTTTTCAGTTTTTAAAAGACGAAAATATTTTTGTTAAAAACAATTTTTTTTTTCTGTTTTTACAAAAGAAAATTCCAATTTTTTCAAAATAATGCTTTAAAAAAACTGATTTTTTTTTTTTTTGTAAAAACTGAGTTGTCTTTTGTAAAAACTGAAAAAAGAAGAAGAAAACTTTACTAAATTAGTGGGACTACTGTGCATTAGTTTAAAAACACAAAAATATTTTGCAATTTTTTTTTAAAGTAATTATTTTTAATTCAGCATTGACCTAACGGTCAAAGGGCATAAGTGAAGCAAAAAAGTGGATGGAGAGGTATTTTTAGTCCAATAGGTGGATGAAGGGTATTTTTAAATATTTTTCAACAGTTTAGGGACATTTTGAACCCTTTTCCGGAAAAAAAAAAAAGAAAAAGAAAGAAGAAGAGGTAACTTTACTTTTATCACAACAAATTGCATTACATGAGATATTGTACATTTTGTGAAAAGATTGTACCTTGTTTAATATACTAAGTTGAAAAGATTGAACTATTTATGGGAATTAAGATTTAACACTGGATTCTGAATCTTTCCCAAAAGTAGGGGGAGATTCTGAAAGCATATAGACCATGAAAGTAGCCTTTATACTTAAACTCCTACAAATCCACCCCCTTATAAAAACAATTTAATTGGGTGAAATTCCTGTAATTTCATAAAACAATCTATAGAGGTCCAGCTACAAAATTAAAGAGAGAAGAGAACGTGGTCAAAATTTACAACTATGTGCAAACTAAATTTGATCTCAACGACTTTTATGCCCCCCATAAGTATAAGTTCTTGTACCAGAATCTTTATTAGCCAATGAAAATATTATACATGCCTATTATAAATAGTAGTTGCATATAGAATACAACTTTATTCTCAACAAACATGACAACTTTGAAAATCACCAAAAAGCATCACAAACATTTCAACAATCCATTCCCTGCCAACCCAAAGACTCTCCCATTGATATATGGAACTTTGATCTTGAATTTTCAGAAACTTCCTTGTTCACATCAGATCTACACCATTGGAAAAGATTTCCAGTTGAGTTGGTCTTCAAAAGATGGAGGATTTCTTTCAATCTCTCACAAGTCTGAGCCAGCAAGGTCCCTGTGGTCCACCATCCCTGGAGAAGCTTTCATTTCTGCAGCTATTGCTGAAACTGAAGTCGAAGAAAGCAGAGGTTCATTCCTGATCAAAGATAAACATGTTCATTTCGTATGTAATCACCAAACCATTGAAGAGATAAACATCATAAACCAATCTGATATCACTACGTCCTTACACGATCAAGATCAATTTTTGCCAAAGAATTCCCAGTTTCCTGTTTTGATGATCACAGGGAAAGTTTATGGTGTCAATAAAAGAAAGAAGAAGGTTAGATTTCCAAGACGAAAAGAGTTGATGGAATCTTCAGAGAAAGAAACTTCCACTTCTGCAAGATATTGGCTTCTGTTTGATCAGAAAAACTGTAATCAAGTTGGTTTCCAAGTGAGGATTGGAAAACCAGATTTACAACTTCCACAAAGAGTTTCTCCAAGAAGTTACAGAAGCTTTTCTCTAAAATTTGGTCGAATTCGGAGACGTAGAGCTGGGTGGTTTGGATTTCTGTCAAGAAAAAAAACTGTCGCTGAGGAGAACGTGGTGATGAAAACTGCCGGAGTCAGTGATTTCAATAGGATTTGTTTAACATATGCAAGTGAAAGAAATGAGAGATTCTTTGGTTTCGGCGAGCAATTTTCTCATTTAGACTTTAAAGGAAAGAGGGTCCCCATTTTTGTTCAAGAACAAGGGATTGGAAGAGGTGATCAACCTATTACCTTTGCAGCTAATTTAGTTAGTTACAGGTACATTTTTATTATTTTCTCATGGAGACTACATTAAACTTACCATTTATGTTGAAAATCTTTCTAACTCAACCCTTGTGTGAAAACTATGTCAATCATACGGTTTTTATCAAAAGACTCAAACGCGCACTACTGTCTAATGTAGGGCAGGGGGGGACTGGAGCACAACTTATGCTCCTTCACCATTCTACATGACATCAAAGATGAGGTCACTTTACTTGGAGGGTTATGACTATTCCGTGTTTGATCTAACAAGAGATGATAGAATTCAAATACAGGTAGGTGACTATTGACAATTCCTGTCTTCCTGCTTAATTATGATTTTGTTAATCCCAGAAATTTCCGAATAATGATAGTGTAAGTCAAGCTAAAGAGTTAAATCTTGAATCGCGCACTTTCAGAAATGTTAAACAGGCCAACACCAACTCAATACAACAGTATCTGCTGCATAAAACTTACCTGTATTTTTCCTTGATACACAAGACAATCTTATCTCGTACCATATCAAAAAGAACATTCAGGCGAGAAGAAATAATCCCAACACATGTAGTGGTAAAGCAGAGAATATGAAGGAAAGAATGTATAAATCTTTAAATGTACATTTTGTTCAAATTCTCATACTCACCTCAATATTTAAAATAACGTTGCAGTTACATGGGAACTCGTTTGGAGGTCGGATACTGCACGGCAACTCACCTTGTGAGCTCATTGAACATCTCACAGAAAGCATTGGAAGGCCCCCACCTCTTCCAGAGTGGATTATTTCTGGTGCAGTGGTGGGAATGCAAGGTGGCACGGACACTGTCCGCAGTATTTGGAATGAAATGCAAAGATATGATGTCCCAGTATCAGCATTCTGGTTGCAGGTATACCTTTTCCAATGAAGGAACTAAAAAGATTCTAGGCCTCATCCTTCTTATTTTCACATTTTATCACACAGAGAGAATACTCAAATTGATTCAGATGTGTAAGATCTTTTTTCATATACTCTTCGTTCAGGATTGGGTAGGGCAGAGAGAGACAATCATTGGGTCACAACTTTGGTGGAATTGGGAAGCAGATGAAACGAGATACTCAGGATGGCAGCAACTAATTCGAGACCTTAATATGAAACATATCAAAGTGATGACATATTGCAATCCTTGTCTGGCTCCGGTATTTAACCCATAACTTTACCATTTATTTTGTGGAACTGCTGGTGGACAACCTTTAAAAGTTTTGCTTCAAAATTGCAGATGGATAAAAAGCCAAATATAAGGAGACACCATTTTGAGGAGGCAAAGAAGTTGGATATCTTAGTGAAAGACAAGAATGGGGAACCGTATATGGTGCCCAATACAGCATTTGATGTAGGGATGCTGGATTTGACACATCCACATACCACGAATTGGTTTAAGCAGATTCTGCAAGAAATGGTAGATGATGGAGTAAGAGGATGGATGGCAGATTTCGGCGAAGGTCTTCCAGTGGATGCCTGCTTGTATTCAGGTACGAGAAGCACGTGAATAAAGCAACTTAAAAGAGGGTCAAATACTAGCACCCTAGTATATAAGTTTTCTTTCACCTTATTGCTGATTTAACCAAAGTTAACTCCAACATTTGTGTTTACTATTCAGGCGAAGATCCAATTGCAGCACATAATAGATATCCTGAATTATGGGCAAAACTCAACAGGGAATTCGTGGATGAATGGCGAAGCACACATGTAGGCCAAGAGAGAGAAGATCCAGAGGAGACTTTGGTTTTCTTCATGAGGGCTGGTTATAGGGATACTCCTAAGTGGGCAATGCTATTTTGGGAGGGAGACCAAATGGTGAGTTGGCAAAAAAATGATGGCATCAAGAGTGCAGTGGTTGGCTTGCTTAGCGGAGGACTTTCAGGATATGCTCTTAATCACAGTGATATTGGAGGCTATTGTGCTGTAAACTTACCATTTTTCAAGTATCACAGAAGTGAAGAGCTTCTCTTGCGATGGATGGAATTTTCCGCTTTCACCACCGTGTTCCGGACACATGAAGTAAGTTTATCATTTCATTCCCTGGAATCAAATTCCATGATTCTTTCTTCTTTCCACTCTCAATGCTGAAAGATTTGACGAGTTTTGCCATTTCTGAACATATTAATTCAGGGAAACAAGCCATCTTGCAACCACCAGTTCTACTCCAATAATAGAACACTGTCACATTTCGCACGTCTTGCAAAGATCTACAAAGCATGGAAGTTTTACAGGATTCAACTAGTTAAGGTAATATACGATCACAGTTTGGTTTTTCAAAATAAAAAATTTAAACCAAAAGATCTAAGAATTAGTACCTTGTTGAATTACACAGGAAGCCTGTCAGAAAGGGCTACCAATTTGTCGACATCTCTTCCTTCACTATCCAGAAGATGAACATGTACATAGCTTAACACATGAGCAGTTCCTAGTTGGCACAGAGATACTTGTGGTACCTGCGCTAGACAAAGGCAAAGAAAATGTTAAGGTCTATTTCCCGATAGGAGAAAGCTCTTCATGGAAGCATATTTGGACAGGAAAACTGTATTCAACACAAGGTTCCGACGCTTGGGTGGAAGCACCAATAGGATATCCTGCCATTTTTGTTAAAGTTGGTTCTCCTGTTGGAGAAACCTTTCTGGAAAAACTTAGCAAATACAATGTCTTATAATTCAACAGCCTAGAGATAGATGATGTAATTGGTTTTAGGGCACATAACCATGAAAGTAGCATTTAACATTCTTTCTATTCCATAAGTACATGGATGTTGGTGATAATACATGTGTAAAGTTGAAGAATTTATTTAGTAGAATCATTTGACTTTATACCAACGACTATCATCGCATTAAAATTTCACCAGAAGTTGAACAAATGGAAATTATTCGTAGAGTTTGTGACCACCCTTCTGCATGAGGGAATAAATACAGCAGTCTGTAGGGATAAGTAAATCCCTCAGATATTCCTGATTAGAGATTTAAATTTCTGCACCTTTAAGCGCCTGTAGACTATCATTTCATTAACATTTCACCAGAAGTTGAACAATAATCTTATATATGTGACATAGATGCGATTTATTAGTCAGATCTTCTGAATAGATACAACCAAGCGCCTCGTACCCAACGAAAGAAACTAGATTACCCTTGTCTGCGTGCATGGGCAAAATTTTTGTAACAATTGGTGAACTGTTAACAAAATTGTAAAAATGCTCAACTAGGTGCTGTTAGGAAGAGAATGTTGACATGCTTCAAAACTGTAATACACCAAAACCACATTCTTCAAGCTTAATTATCAGTTATTGATTTTGGCTAAGTGGAATGCATGAACCAGTAAGTACAATTTGATTTTAGCTGCTGCCAACCAACACAACCAAAGTCCCATTATTTCAAAAGGTTGCTATATATAGTTACAATTATTCCATATGTCACATGCTGCGTGTTGGAACTCTGACAGGAAAAAATTAACTTAAGTACTTGCCTTCAGAGAGTTAACATCCAAACCTGACTCTCTTAACCATCTAAGTCTTCTGAACAGAGTGTTCCAATTAAAAGTAGCAAAAAAAGCGAGCAAATAATCAGAGCTTCTAGCTTTCAGTTACATTCAAAGAATATATTCACTGATGCAAAACCTTATTTTGTTGTCAGCTGCTTAGGACACAATTACTGATATATTAAGTTCAAACTCATATGAGAGTTCCTTTGCCTCAATTGCCTGCTAGCTAAAACTCCAACAGAATCTAACTGAGTAGATTGAAAAGCCCCAACAATTAAGAGAAAAAGTAGAGCCAGAGCAGAACACACTGGAGCTTACATGTTTAAAGAGAAGTGCAGAAACGAACCTGTTTGCAATAAAAAGCAGAACCTGAGCTGCCGGCGTTCGACCGTTAATTTCGTGAATCGCCGGGTCTTTCCTGTTGATTTCGTTGCGATTTGATCGATTTGCCTGTTGGGCTCTTTGAGCACACCAATTTATGCGCTATTCACGCGAAGAGAATTTTAAAGGTTGCATGATATCAAGCAGCAATTGGAACAGAACTAACATAAACGGTTCTATTGAAGTGTTCGCAATAATTTGGCCGAGCTTGGGAACCTGTGTGTTTTTTTTTTTTTTTTAAAAACTTTTCATTCATTAACTAATTCTATTATATAATGCAAGAGTCCCATTGGGCTCATCCATAAGTATTGCCACCATATTGTTTACATTAGGAATGCAAGTTGTAAAAAGGTTCCCAAGTTCAACTAACTTACCAAATATAGTAGTAGATACAAGCCTAGATTTAGTAGAGCCAATCTTATCATCATGGACAATTTTCAAAAGTGCATTCGATGGTTGTTCCAAAAGAGAAAGGGGATTGTTGATTGCTTGCTTGGATCCTCGGTGGCCAAAAAGTGAGCAACTTTATTTCCCTCCATGAAGTTATGCCGCATCGGCGGATTCTCCAGTTTCTTCAGTAATGACCTGCACTCAGTAACCAAGTTAGAATATATTAAACAAATATCTTCATTAAGCAGGCGAATTATGTCTGTAGCATTCGTTTCAATTTCTAAATTCAACAGGTTTCTTTCGCAGGCTAGTTGTAGCCTAGTCTTGAGAGCTAGAAGCTCCCTATAAGCAGGGGTATAGGCAATAGTTAAGTTGTAATAACCCAAAATCCAGTCCCCATGATTATCTCTAAAGATTCCGTCGATGCCTCCTTTCTTATATTTACCTTTAAAGGCACCATCAATATTGAGTTTAAGGGAAAAAATTGTTGGCGGAAGCCATTTTGTAGAGATGGTTATATTAAGGGGGGTGTAGCTAGGGGAGTTTGTGCAGTATTTAAATTCTTCGCAGCGCATGATAACCATATTAAGAGATAGTTGGCTGCATAGATTGTTAAAAGAGTTGTTATTTCTATTGAGTCACACGTGCCAAATAGCGAATGGAAAGAATTCTTCCCATGAGATGCCCTAATGATCCAAAGCTATGTTAGAGTATTTTAATATGGTGAACCAATGGTCAGAGTTCTGGTGGAGGGGAAGAAAGTTTAGGTGCGCATTGCTCCAAAATTTTATGGCTATGGGCCATTCGAAGAAAACGTGGGTGATTGTCTCTTCTGCCCTTTTACATATAGAGCAAGTAATGTCAATGTTAAGACCAATTTGATGGAGATAATTTTTGTTCAGAAGCCAGTTATGGGAACATTTCCAGAGTAAGTATTTTATCTTGTGAAGCGTGTTATGCTTCCAGATCCAATGGAACTTATAGGTATTAGTAGGTGGCGCTGAGAGTAGCTTATAAATAGAGTTCGTGGAAAAGATACCATTTGAGGTGAGAGCCCAAGAAGGAATGTCTCTAGTGTTATTAATGGTGGCAAGATTAATGGAGAGGATCTTGTTCCTTATTTTAGTAGGTAGAATAAATGATAGTTTGGAAAGGTCCCAATTGTCAGAAGTCCACAGATCATTGACTTTGAGTGTTTGATCAGCTTGGTTCATTGGCCCTTGAATGAGGGCATTCAAGGGTGGGATACCCAGAATCCATGCGGAGAACCAGCAACTAATGTTTCCTGGCCCAATTATCCATTGAAGACCCTGCTTACAGATTTTCCAACCTGTTAGGATGTTATTCCAAATAAAAGAGTGGGAGTTGGGGTTTCTCTTATGGCTGTATTTATTAATAAGTGTTTTGGCCCATATAGAACTAGGATTGGTGAAGAGTCTCCAAGAGAGACTGGCCAGAGATGCTAAGTTTTTTTCAGCTGCTTTTCTGATTCCCAGGCCCCCGCATGTTTTGGCTGAGTGATAGTGGACCATTTGATGTAGTGAATTTTCTTTTTCAGAGTGGTAGAGCCCCAGATAAAATCTCTTTGTATTTTATCAATTTGCTTGAGTGTGGAGGAGGGGAGTAGGAGATATTGCATAGCATGGTTTGGGATGGCATTGAGAGTTGATTTGGCAAGTGTTGTTCTTCCTGCAATCGAAAGAAAATTTATTTTTCAACTGGCAAGCTTAGTGTTCATGTTGTCGATGATGTAACGTACATCGGAGGCCCTAGGCTTACCAGTGAGAATAGGGAATCTCAAATATTTACTAAAATTTTCACTTATTCTAATGTTAAGAATAATGGCGAGGTGAGTTTTGGTTTGAGTATCACAGTTTCGCGAGAAGATGATTTTTGATTTAATATTATTGATTTTTTGCCTAGAGAGCTGAGAGAAGAATTGAAGGCTACGCTTAATTGTGTGGATTGATTTTAAGTTGGCATTGGCTGAGAGAGTTAAGTCATCCGCATAGAATAGATGTGGAAGAGATGGGCCAGTGGGATTATGTTTTATAGGGTCCCAGAGTCCAATGTTAACTTGATAATTTATATAATTGGACATTAATTCCATGCAGAGTATAAAAAGATACAGAGATATTGGGTCGCATTGTTGTATACCTCTTGATGGATGGAAAAAATCTATTTTGGAGCCATTGCCTAGGATAGCAATTCTAGATGTACTGATGCAACTCATAATGAGCTTTGTGATACGCGGTGGAAATTTAAAGAAGAGTAAGGCGCGGTAAATGAAAGACCATTCAAGTCTATCGAAAGCTTTTTCAAGATCAATTTTTAGAAGGACCATCCCCTAGCGACCTTTAATTTTTTGGAAATGGTGAATCATTTCTTGAATAATAATGGCATTATCACTAGTTCTTCTTCCTTTGGGGAAGCTAGTTTGATAAGGGCCAATAAGTTTGTTAAGGTAGGGCTTGATTCTATTCACAATAATTTTCGTACTAACCTTATAAATAGTGTTGCAGAGTCCTATGGGACGAAAATTATTGAGGTTATTCGCATTATGAAATTTTGGGATATGGCATATATAGGTAGAGTTAAGGGCTTCAGGGATTGAGAGATTATTGAAAATATTATGGCAAAAAGTTAAGACTGAATACCTAACTATATGCTAATATCTTTGGTAAAAAAGGGGTGGATATCATGCGGGCCGGGTGCCTTAAAGGGTTTGAAGAAGAATATAACACGAGAAACTTCAAAATCTTTTAGAGGACAGTCCAGTGGGGAGAGATCTAAGCTTTCAAAGCTAGTTTGAGAATTACATATGTTTTGCAGGGGTGTTTCTATATGGTCAGTTTGAAAAGCTTTTTGGAAATGTTGAGATGTGTGACTAAGAATTTGCGCCGGGTCATTAATCCAATTACCCTCACTATCCTTGAAGAAGGAGATATTATTTCTTCTTTTGCGGTTAACTACACTTAAGTGGAAGAATTTTGTATTTGCGTCCCCATCGATGAGCCAGTTTAAACGACAACGGATTTTTCAATAATCTTCCTCTATTTTCAGAATGTTGTTGTAATCGGATATAAGGTCATTTTCCAGAAGCTGAAGGAATTTTCTAGTGGGGTACTTTGGGGAGGATTGGATTCCTTGGAGTCTCGCAAGGATTCTATTTTTTTTATTTGTGTTGCCAAAGGTGCCTTTGCCCATTGCATAATCCTATGTTGCAAATAATCTGTGGCTTCAAGGAGATGTCTATCTTGCCAAGAGTCTTTGACAATGGTGTCAAAATCCGAGTGATAGCACCAAAAGGTTTCGAGCCTAAAGAGTTTTCTGCTAAAGGGAGAGGCAGACCTTTGAAATTGGAGAAGAATAGGGGCATGATCTTAGTGAGTTCGGGGTAGGTGGGTGATAGAAACATTAGGATATTGGTTGATCCACATGGTGTTGGCAAGACATTTGTTTAAACGTTCTAAAATTAGACCACCCGAGTTTATTCTACGGTTAGTCCAAGTGTATTTTGCACCTTTAAAGCCTAGGTCTATTAATTTGCAATAGTTCACACATGACCAAAAACGAGAAGAGAGTTGAGTATTAATAGGTCTACCCCCCCCCCTCCCCATTTTTCATTTTGGGATAGGATTTCATTGAAATCCCCTCCTACTAGCCACGGCCCTTGATAAGTATCCGCTATGGTGCAAAGGCTATTCCAAAGATTACTACGCATATTAAGAGAGGTACTAGCATACAAGATACTAATAAGACTAGGGGGTTGGATAGGAGATACCTGGAGCATTGCATGGATTTCTTGGTGGGATTTGCTTACGAGATTTAGTGTAACTAGGTTTCCATACCAAAGCAGTACTATCCCTCCAGCATGACCTTCGGCTGGAACCTTCAGCAATTTAGAAAAATGAAACTCATCACGGAGAGGTGTATGGTCAGACATTTTGGTTTCCAACAATGCAACCATGGCAGGGTTATGAGTGTTAAGCAATTCCCTAAAATTTCTTTTTAACTCATGATTGTTCGCCCTGCAGATATTCCAGACAATAAGACTCATTGAACTATTCATTTGGAGATGGTTTGAGTTGAGATTATTGTTCCCTGGCCCCTCGTGTAGGAGATGAGTGAATTGCCTCAGAGATGGGCTCAATACTACTGCAAAGTTCCCTGTTGCTTGTAGGATCGGAGGGCGGATGTCGATGGAGTAATTGTAAAGTACTACTGGACACCTGAGTATGTATTTCCTGTCCTCCATCTCTTGGAATAGCATGAGAGATGCTTCTCTGATGCTTAATGTAATGTCTAGTACTAGTTTAGACTCTTCTTTAGACTTTTACCAATGTAAGGCATGATAATCCCAATGAGACATGTAGGATGTGTAATGTTGTTATCTAGAAATGGATAAAAGTATCCCGACTTACCCAAAAAAAGCTTGAAAACTTCCAATAATACACCAGAATATGCTTTACTTGCGTCCCCATCTACTTCTATGCGCTATTAGATGGCACGCTTATAGGAATCAAATGTCAACAATTATTTACTCAATGTGTGCGATTGTAGTATGATTATTAGATAGCATGCCTATAAGATCATATGCTAATATTAATTTAGATACCATGCCTATAGGACCTTAATTGATTAACTAATCGACTGTTTATGTTGTTCTTATTACAATGCCTGCCCAGATAGCATGGCTATAGGAAAAAACATGATAAAATTGCGTTCAAACATCAATTATTAGAGAACCTTCCTATAAGACACTGTTATTCGCTTAGAAAGCATGCCAATAGGATCAAATATGGGTAATTCTGAGTTTTCAAACGG